TTCTTCATCAATTCATGACTCTTGTTTTCAGGTTCCTATTCATACGACTGGTGTAAATGTTGAAGATGAAAGAAAAGAACTTGAACAACTTCGAGCAACTGTTACTCTTCTCACAAGCCAATGTGCTCAACTTGATGAAGCAAATCGCGCTTGGCAACAATATCATCAAACACAGTTGAATGGTTTCCGAAATATACTTCATCATCATTTGCCCATAGATGAACGCTTCACATTGGATCAAGCTGCGGAACATATTCTTCATCAAGTTACAAAAGAAAGAGAAAATTTTACTCAACGATATCAAGCATTGGAGAAAGTCAATGATGATGTTCGATTAGGTATTTAATGTATTAACTATCATCTTCATTCTTTATGTATTATTTATATTGTGTATAGAATCAGCAACCAATTTGGAAACCATCAAAGAATCATATATTAATACCATTGATGAATTAAATAAAGAATTACTTACTATGAAGGAACAATGTGAGATACTCATGGCTGAAAAACAAGCTTTATCAAATGAACTTGGAAAGAAATCTGTTGAATTCAACATAGAGCAAAAGAAAAAAATAATTGGTAATGGTTTTTTTTTGTCTTCACATTTTGTAGAAGTAAATATTCTTTTATTTTGTAGAGTCAGAACCAATCGATTTATTACAAGAAGTTTGTTATATTGTTTTATCCTAGTCTTTTATAATTTGTGTGTGTGTTTTTTGCAGATTCCTTTACAAACAAGCTCTTCTAACTTCGAACAAGAAAATGAAGAACTTCAACAATTACGCGAAAACTTTGCTATTCTTACCTCCCAATATGCTCAATCAAATGAAGCTAATCGTGCTTGGCAAGAGTTCCATCAATCTCAAGTAGATAATTTCCGTAGTCAAATACAAGATTTCATACAAATCGATAACGATTTATCATTTGAACATGTTGCACAAAAAATCATTGATCAAATAACTAAAGAACGAGAATCGTTCAATGAACGATATGAAATATTAGAAAAAGCACATACGGATCTTCAATCAGGTAACTTATTTAATCTATTGACAGTTGTGTTTTTTTTTTCTAATAAATAATATTCATTAGAATCGATTCAAGAAAAAAAAGAAATCGTTCTTCTGAAAGAAGAATACGATCAAATTCTTCGTGAAAAACAATCTTTCGTGAATCAAATTGAAAATCAACCAATTATTAGCAATCAAGAACGTGATACTCAAACCATAGGCAATCACTTAATTTTAAAAACGAAAGTTTATTCTCAATTTTATTCTTTTTTTTTTGTTTAGAAACATTAGACTCAAATCTTCTCGAACAACAAACTAAAATGGTTTGTTTCACTTTTAGATCTTTTGTTTTTTACCTTTGAAATTCTTTTCTTATTACCATTTTATAGTCTGAACTTCAAGAAAATCTTATTTCACTAAGAACTCAACTTGACGAAACTAATCATTCACGACAACAATTTGAACAAACACAATTTAATTTATTTAAAAATGTTTTACCAGATTCAACTAAAATGTCACTTGAAGAGCTCATACAAGAAATTATTTTATATATAAATCATTTAACAAAAGAAATTGATTTATATAAAGAATTAGAAAGTCAACGTGATGGTAGGAGATTTTTATATTTAAATTTTATTTAAAAGTTCCATTTAGATAATACAATTGAACAAGAACTTATGGTATTACAAAATCAATGTACAGAATTAGATGCAGCTAATCGTGCATGGCAATTATTTTTTGATAATCAAATTAATTTATTAAAAGATAGATTAAAAGATTATATTCATTTTGATAACAATGAAAATTTTGATCAAATTATTCAATTGATTGTTATAAAATTTCAACAACAAAAACAATTCAATGAAAATATTTCATTAGGTAAAATATTTAGAATAAACAAATATATAAACGTAGAAATATTGCTATTAAGTTCATCAGACATTTCTAATTCGAGATTTCAGATGAAAAAAATCTGTACAAATGTTTTGTCATAGTTTCTCCTTCTCTGATATTTCACATATCATTAGTAAATAGGTTACTGCGAATTTGTAACTGATTGTAATTCTTGACTTCACCGGTTGAAAACTGGTCTGTTGAGTACATCGATGAACTAACTAGTCTTCTGTGAGAAACGATCTTCTTTAGGTATCAGTAAAAACATATTATTTGAAAGTTATAAACATCTTAGAGTTTCTAATAGTAAAAACTTTTATTGAATTTTGTCAGCTTTCACATACACTAATATTCACAATGAAGGAAGAGCTCTTTTTAAAATATTTCATGTAGTAGCGCACACCCAAAAACTCATAATGAACAATATTGATGCTTGTTTTTTGCTTAACTTCCTTCAATAAAGGTATCAATTCTTGTAAAGAGTTGACAAGTTGGATGTTTTTTTTTATATATAGAATCGTTATTTAATACACCTGGAAGACTTCTCAATCGATATAAGACTACTATTAAAGATAAGATACAAACTTCGGTTTTTTACATAAGACTTCAATTGCTGTTCATCTAGAGTTTTTGACAGTTAATTAAGAGCAGTCTAGAAAAATGAGCTTAAAATTTCGAATTGGAATTTGAGGCTAGGATCTATGGGATCTGGGTATGAAAATTTACGCGTCGTTGGGCTCTATCTGTGGTCGTGATTCTATGACGAAAAAAACGTGATCTGGAAATTAGAAACTGGAAATCTCATGACAGTTAGACATTTATCAATTGCAAACTTTCGAATTCATATTTCTAAATCGATTTACATCAATTTCTTGAAAAAAAAAACTGACTAGTCTGTTTTCAAGTCTGAACAACTATATATCAAAATTGAATACAAATGACAATTGCAGTTGTTCGTCAATTTCATTGAGACATAACAGCAAATCATAACATATCCTATGAAATTCTTTTCAAAATCTTTCGACTATGTTTTAACTAATTTAATTTTTCTAAATTTTAGACACAACAAAAGATGATCTTGATTTATTAAAAAAACAAATAAATAACTATCAAGACAATGAACAATCACTTAATGAACAAATTTTAAGTCTTGAAGAAGAATGTCAAAAACTTGAACAACAATTAAAAGAAAATCAATATTCAATTGATTCATTAAAAACTAATTTACAATTAACATTAAATGAAAATGAACAACTTAAGCAACAATATGATGAATTACAACAAAAAAATAATATACTTATTAATATGAATCATAATTTAATAAATCAATTAAATGAATATGAACGACAATCATCTCATTTTGATTCTCAAGATACTTCAAAACAAATGATTCAAAAAGAAATTCGTCATACACCAATTCAAGAAGTTAATAATAATATTTATTCAATTTTCGAAATTAAATTTTGTTTTTCTTGTTTTTTTTTTTTTGTCAAGGTTCAAATTCATAGAATAACTCCTATTCAATCAACATATTCTCCAAATATTGAAGAAGAACTTCGTCAATTACGAACAGATCTTACAGCATCATCAGCTCATTGTTTACAATTAGAAGAAGCAAATCGTGCTTGGCAACAATTTCATCAAAATCAACTTGAATTATTTCGTCATAAATTACAAGATTCAATTCCATTAGATGATAATTTTACACTTGAACAAATAGCACAACAAATTTTTATTCATCTTCAACAATTACAAAATAATAAAGATAATACGAATCAATTAGGTACGAAATTCTCTAACATAAACAAAAATAGAATTTTCAATTATTCTAATAGTCATTTATATTTTCTCAGAAACACGACAACAGTTACATTGTGTTTCACATTGTAATTTTCCAAGGATTGCGCTGATAGGTTTTTTTTTCATTCAAAATGTTCAATTAAGTACTAGTCAAAATTAACATCCTTTTGTTTTATTGTTTCACTTAAAATTATTTTAATTAGATAGTAAAAAAAAATTAATTAGTGAAATTCCTGCGGAATTTAAATATAAATCATGATGTAACTGCTGTGACTAATGGCAGAGAAATATTTTTATTTTAATAATTTTTCGGATATACTTGTTTACAATTCTTTCGATTAGTCTTCAAGAAATATAATAATGGAGTAACCTTCAACATATAAATATCCGCGGAAATGTTGAGATCTGCGATGTTCGAACACAACCAGTATATTTTACGATTTTTCGAAGAAAGTTTTAAACATTACTAAGAAAACGAACTTTTAAAACATCTCGAAAAATATGCAGTTCTTTTGACTCCTGATATAAATATGTATGCAAGATACGAAAAATACATCGTACTATGCTCATAAGTGGCAGAACTAATATTGTGAACAGAATCACACTTATAACCAATATCAACGTAATTAGAGATCTTAATAACTCGGAAGGATAACATTTATTAGGCTTAAACTCAATAAAAAAATTTGCTTATTTTACCTTCATAACAAAACCATTTTAAATAGCTTGATAAAACATTACAATTAAATGTTTTAAAGTATTATGTAAATTTTATTGTGAGTGTTCATTTCAAAATAAATATTGTTCTCAATTTGTAAATGAAAAAGTTAGACCTATAGGATTTTTCATTCGAACGAAGCAGATCTAAATTTTCGTGTAGATATTGATGTGTCCAAACGATTGTCTCTATACTTCAACACTTCTCTCAGATCGTACTTCACAAAAACTACAGTTAACTCTCTCTCTGTTTTCTTATTGAATCCATTATATTCAGATTCGTTGACAGAGTTTATTTGAATATTTGACGTCGTATCTATATTCAGTATGTTGACATAATGACGCACTATCTCCTCATTGTTTTTACAATATCTTTTCTCTCAAGCTACTATCTTCAATGCATTGTTGATTCTTCATATTTGATAAAAAATTTTTAATGAATCAACTAAGAATAGTATCAAGACTTCAATATTCACTGTACACATACTCAGAGTGATTTTTCTACATTTCTCTAATGAAATTTTCCAAAATTAAAGTATCAACTTTTTTTTTTTCTTCCATCCACTTTTTAGACGCAAATTCAACAATTGATTCTGTACAGCAACAATTAACTAAATCTCAATTAAATGAAAGCATACTTTCTGAAAATCTTGAACAATTAAACCAAAAATTACTTGATGTTTATCAAGAATGTGAAGAATTTCGTGAACATAATGCACAATTAATATTATCTAAACAACAACTTGAACAGCAGTTACAAGAACAACAACAACAACAAATTGATGAACTTCAATTATCAAATTCTAATGCAGAAAAATTCTATGATCTTGGACAACATAATGAATCACTTCGTTTAGAAAATCAACAATTACAATTTAAATTAAATGATATGGAACAACGATTAAATCAATTATCAATTAATTCAACTATTCACCGTGTTGATTCACCACGAGAGGTTTGTAATTTTTGGTTAAATGAATAATTTATCGATGTTTTATTGTTTTTTTTCTCGCTATTTAAGAATGTTGGTATTCATAGTATTGATCGTGAACGTGAAAACGAAATTCATCAATTACGTACAGATTTAGCAGTGGCATCAGCCCGTTGTTTTGAATTAGAAGAAGCAAATACTGCTTGGAGAAATTATCAATATGAACAAATAGAATCTTTAAGAAAAAAACTTCAAGAACTAATACCATCATTAAATCTCATTGAAAATTCATCATTAGATATTCTTACACAACAAATTATTGATTATTTAAATCAATTAAATATTCAACAAGATAATCTTTTACGTCAGAATGATTTATTAAAAGATGAAATTCGATTACAAAAACAACAACTAGGTAATTATACATTATTTTCAAATATCAATCAATAGAATTTAATTATATTTTTCAAAATATAGAACGTCCACGATCTGCTGATAGTAAGCAACGAATGCTTCAAAAACGATCATACAATAAAAATCTTGCCGAAGTTATTTGTTTAACCTTTTAAGTTTTTTTTATTAGAAATTTTTCTTTATTTTAGCCTCAAATTCATAGTCTGACATCATCTCCATCACCATCTCCTCTCATCAATGAACATGAACAAGAACTTCAACAACTTCGCGAAAATGTTGCTTCTCTCACAAATCAATGTGTACAACTTAATGAAGCTAATCAAGCTTGGCTACAATATCAACAAACACAATTCGATACTTTCAGAAATACACTTCATCCTTATTTACCTATTGATGAAACTTTCACATTGGATCAAGCTGCACAACAAATTCTTCATCAAATTATAGAAGAAAGGCAAGATTTTACTCAACGATATCAAGCATTAGAAAAAGTTAATGACGATCTTCGATTAGGTAACCAGTTTATTAATTCTTATCTTCATTTTTTATGCGTCATTTTTCTCTTCTATAGAATCAGCAACCAATTTGGACACCATCAAACAATCTTATACTGATACAATCGATGAATTAAATAAAAAACTTCTTAGTATGAAAGAACAATATGGACAAACAAATAGTAAGTTTTCTTATCGAAAAAACTATCAAGTGATGTTTCTTTTGTCTATAATAGAACTTGAATCAACTACTTTGTTACAAGAAGCATTCGAAAAGGTATGTTTTCTTGAATTATTTTTGTGTTTCTATTGATGTTTGAATTACTTTGGATATTTAGACTCCAATGAAGAGTGATGAAACTATTGATCAACAAGAAACAGAAGAAATTCGACAACTTCGTGAAAATCTTATTTCACTTACATCTCAACTTGATGAAACAAAACGAACATCGCAACAATATAAACAAACACAACTTGATATTTTACGAAATCAACTTCAGAATTGTTTATCAATTGATTCTAATATTTCATTTGATGATATAGCACAACAAATTGTTGATCAAGTAACTAAAGAACGTGAAGATTTCAATGAAAAATATCAAGCACTAGAAAAA